CCCCTGGCCTTCGCAAAACCTAAGGATCCCATATCCGGACCCTTTCTGAGGCTATGCAGGGTGCAGGGCATGACATCTCATCTCTCACTAGTGGCTCTTTCTACAGGCTTTTTGTCCCTTTATAGTTAACTCTGCTCTGCTAAGTCAGCCCTCCTCCATCTACCATCTCCACGCACTCTGCTTTCCCATTTTCATGCAGGTTTTATAACTATTAGATTCTTTTACTATAATTTCAGTGGGGTTTCTTTGGGGTGGTAAGAGACAGATTAAAATGCACACGTTCAAGCCTCTTTTTTTTTTTAAATTTTATTTATTTATTTGAGAGAGAGAGAGAGAGAGAGAGAGAGAAATAGTATGAGAGGGGAGAAGGTCAGAGGGAGAAACAGGCTCCCCGCTGAGCCGGAAGCCTGATGTGGGACTCGATCCCAGGACTCCGGGATCATGACCTGAGCCGAGAGCAGTCGCTTAACCAACTGAGCCACCCAGGCGCCCACCTTCAAGCCTCTTTAACTGTCTTTAACTCCCCTTCTTCACTGGTTCCTCATCAGTGTTTTTAAAAGAACTTTATTTTATTGCAGTAAGAACAGCTACCATGATCTACCTTCTTTACACATTTTTTTTAGTGTATAATATCTTACTATTGACTCTAAGTCATAAGCATTTAAGCCTTCTTAAATCTCTCCAATATTAAGGAAAACAGGACTAATAAAAATGTTCCCCTTGAGGCCATGTCTCCTTTCACCTCCTGCATTCTCTCTTCCTTCACAGCCAACCTTCTTAAAACAGTTGCCTACACTCTCTCACCTCTTCTGCAACTTCCTTGTATTTCTCAATCTACTACCACCTACTTTCTCCTCCCATCACTCCACTGAAGCTGTTCTTTCAAAGCATACTCCTGTTGATAAATCCAACGGCTAGCTCCTGGTCCTCACCTTACCTGACCTCTCAGTAACATTTGAAACCACTATATTCCCTCCTTCTCACAACACTCTCTTCTTTGGACTTTCTGACCCTGCACTCTCCTCACCTCTTCCTACCTCCCTGCAAATGGGATTATGCGGCACAGACCATACTTGCCACGCCAGGCTCACCTCTTGCCATGCCATATTCCAGTTCTAGGCTCCCATGCATGGAACTTCCTTCAGCTCATAAAGCAAGCCATGTCCCACTTCTCCTCTGGTCTGTGTACATCCTCTCCACTTTTATTTGGCCCATTTTGCAAATTCTGTCTATCTGTGTTGGCTGGCCCTCCTATGCGCTTCTCAAGCACATATTCTGTATTCTCACTACCAGTATGTTCCTTAAAAGGTACTGCAAGTGCCTGCTTACTTGTCCATGCATCGTGAGGACAAGACCCATGTCTGTTTTTTACCTTGTGCAAAGGTGTGTCACGTCAGAGCTTATACGATGGCTAGTACAGGGTAGGCACCCAATAAGTGTCAGCTGAGTGAATAAAGACACAACGGAGAGAGGGAGAATCAAATGCCTACAGAAGACACCCATTATAATGGGCCAGCAGAGCAAATGAATATGATCCCCCCAAAAAGACTTCACATTATAACCTAAATTCTTCGGGCTGCCTTTTTCTATCTTCTTATCAGTGTATTTGACAAATGGTCACCATTTTTTTTGGTACAAAAACAACCAAATGCTGAGTCAGAATATCATAGCACCAATACACCATCTGAGGGCTCAGAAAAGGGCAACTGTCTAAATGTTTCAATATATTTACACAGGTAAATCGCTGGGTTTGGAAGTGCTATGGGAATGGCAATGTTTTATTCTGGTAGTTTTGGTATAATTTTGCTCACATACTAAAATAGGTCTTTTTTTTCCTTTTCTAAAGATTTTATTTATTTATTTGTGAGAGAGCTAGCGAGAGAGGGAACACAAGCAGAGGGAGTGGCAGGCAGAGGGAGAAGCAGACTCCCTGCTGAGCAAGGAGCCCAATATGGGACTTGATCCTATGACTCTGGGATCATGATCTGAGCCAAAAGCAGACGATTAACCGACTGAGCCACCCAGGCACCCCAAAATAGGTCTTTTAAAGACAGAAACATTTTAGAAGAGGTAGTAGATTAGCTCTGTCAAGAGAATAAGCCCTTAGGCTCCTTGAATCATGAGTGTGGTAGGCTCTGAAGAGAAAAAACAAATCCCAGCTCATGCAAAACTGATTTCTAGACTTTGACTGTCATTTAATTAATATAAGCCAAGCTTTCAATGCTCAAATGGCCCCACACACCTTCACTGTTTTACTACTACGCTCATCACTAGGCAAGCACATTCTTCTTTGGTGTACAGCAAGAAGTCTTACGTATGTTGACATTTTAGTTGTTTTGAACTGTCTCTAATATTTGACACTTAGCCACAATCGAAGAGCCTATTTATGGAAAACATGCCTATCTGCAAATAGATCTATTTCCAAATGTGAACTATGATAAATACTTTGCTGGATACTATATTCTCAGCTGGAAAACCTAGAAAGAATTCAGAGGTTACATGTAGTCTCTTGATAATGAACTACCATGTGGGGGGAAAAATGTTTTGAGCTCAGAACGAAAAAAGGAGGTACTGTGATGAATTGTTTTCCATTTCACCTGTCTGAATAGATATTACTCTATTTCTACTATATTCGCATCTCTGCCCAAAAAAGAACTCCCACATTTGTAATTCAGAAATTGTGTCTCCCCAAACAAAAATCATTTCTCCACAGATATATAGTCTAAGCCAGAGGGAGGGAGGGGCAGACACCCCTTTATCTGTCTTTCCCCCAGAAAGACTCAAGAGTAAATCAAAGGTGACCCTGATGGGGTTTGCAGGGATGGGAGTCCGCCACAACAAAAAGCACAAGTAAGGAAAAAGTTCCAAGATAGAGACACTGCCCCAATATAACCAAAGCTCTGGGTATGGCAGACACATTGGAGGCACTGCCCATAACCTTCTACTCTGGGCAGTGACTCTGAGAAAGATAAATATGCCTCTGCAAGCCTGCCAATGGTCAAATCAACCAGCTTTCGCTTGTATTTAAGAGTCAGAGAGTATGAAAGTCACCTGTGACAGTCCCTCCTCCTCCCTCCTGATCACCACCATCTATACACATTCCCTCCAAGGATGGCAGGAAATCCCACACCCAGTCGATGCTATATGTCCCGGACAGCCCATGATTTATTTATCACCTCAAATATTCACATTGTTCCTTCCAACCTTTTCTTCAAAATCCAGCCAACCATATGAAATTATATGATAGCAATCTTGCTGATGAGTACAACGGATCCAATCATTCCTTGGGTTTAAGTGAAAATGAGCAGATAAGTGAATAGTTAACTCAATGCATATTGTGGTTGACTTTTTCTCTCCATTATTGACCACTTAGTTTTCAATAATCACAATCATTATTGATCTGACACTGTAATATCATGTGCTGTTTCCTGTGGCTAGACTCCTCCTCCTCCATTTATCTGCCCAACTCCTCTATGACTTCTCAGATAACTCAGACACCACCTCTTCCAACAAGCTTTCCAATCATACTCATACCTCAATTTCTCACAATAATCCTTCTCTTACAGAAGTAGGTGTCCCTCCGCTGGATTCCAAAACCATGCTTATATATCACCTTCACAGGCATAATCACACAGTACCCTACTTGTTTATAAGTAGACACCTTTATAAGACACTCCTCCCTACCTAGTTTTTAAACCCCTCAAAGGCAAAGATTGTCACTCATCTTCATGTTGTAGTTCACGGCCCAGTGTCTGGTATTTTGTAGACATTTTAAAACGTGTGTGAAATGAGTGAATACATGTATGAACAAACAGATGATGTTTAGACTTAGAAACAGAATTACAGAGATGGGTCTTTAGAAAACATTTAGTTCATCCTACTTCACCAAAAATTCCCTAAACAAGTACTTTCTAAGAGTTGTGCCAAGCCATCAGGCAAATCCAAATCAAAACCTCAATGAGATACCACCTCACACCAGTCAGAATGGCTAAAATGAACAAGTCAGGAAACGACAGATATTGGCGGGGATGTGGAGAAAGGGGAACCCTCCTACACTGTTGGTGGGAATGCAAGCTGGTGCAGCCACTCTGGAAAACAGTATGGAGGTTCCTCAAAAAGCTGAAAAGAGAGCTACCCTACGATCCAGCAATTGCACTACTGGGTATTTACCACAAAGATACAAATGTAGGGATCCGAAGGGGTACGTGCACCCCAATGTTTATAGCAGCAATGTCCACAATAGCCAAACTGTGGAAAGAGCCAAGATGTCCATCGACAGATGAATGGATAAAGAAGAAGTGGTATATATACACAATGGAATATTATGCAGCCATCAAAAGGAATGAGATCTTGCCATTTGCAATGACGTGGATGGAACTGGAGGGGGTTATGCTGAGTGAAATAAGTCAATCAGAGAAAGACATGTATCATATGACCTCACTGATATGAGGAATTCTTAATCTCAGGAAACAAACTGAGTGTTGCTGGAGTGGTGGGGGGTGGGAGGGATGGGGTGGCTGGGCGATAGACATTGGGGAGGGTATGTGCTATGGTGAGCACTGTGAATTGTGTAAGACTGTTGAATCACAGGTCTGTACTTCTGAAACAAATAATGCAACATATGTTAAGAAAAAAGAAAAAGAAGATAGCAGGAGGGGAAGAATGAAGGGGAGTAAGTCAGAGGGGGAGACGAACCATGAGAGACGATGGACTCTGAAAAACAAACTGAGGGTTCTAGAGGGGAGGGGGTGGGAGGATGGGTTAGCCTGGTGATGGGTATTAAAGAGGGCACATTCTGCGTGGAGCACTGGGTGTATGCATAAACAATGAATCATGGAACACTACATCAAAAACTAATGATGTAATATATGGTGATTAACATAACAATAAAAAATAAAAAAAAAGAGTTGTGCCAAGCTGTGAAAACAAGGAAACCAACATCTATGTCCAATAAAAGAGAAACATTTTTTAATGAAAATATGATTAAATAAAAACCTTACCGGCAGAGTTCCAGGCAGAGATGCATCAAAAAAAGATACCAAAGAATTTGGAGGTGCTGCAAAGTGGACTTGAGATCCAGAGAAGAGTTTAGAGTTGGAAGAGATCTGGGCATGAATTTCCAAACCTACCACAGCTGCCCACTCGTGTTCACTAAAGAGAAAGAAAGAATCATTAAGAAGTAGTTAGATCCATCACTATGCATGAATTTCTACGACCCTAAACCACACATGGTAATTTGCTATTTGTGTTTTTAACTTAAAATAGATTTCAGATTCTTACATTTAAAAATATGCCATATTGTATCAATAACTGAATCAAAAGCAATTCATGATGAACATCTACAAGACCAGCAAAATGAAATTCATTTACAACACGGTACATAGGAAGAGTTCACTGTACAAAGAGGAAGGTGATGAAGGAAAAATATGGCATCTTGAAACAATTTAGAAATGGCTATCAGATGACGTCTGCTTGGTTGACTCCAGTGAAAAGCAGTATTTTCTAGATTAATTGTCCTTTATCAGTTAATAACTCAGTAAATGAAAGCTTACCTTGCAAACATTTTTAGAATTAACAAAAACATCATGTTTCTATTAGTAGAGAAATAATGGTGAATAGCTGTATGTCTTATTTAAAAAGGAAGGGAAATTCTCTGTCATGTTTTGAATTCATAACAATGGCTTGCAAAAAAATGATCAGAGTGACACAGATATAACAGATCATCACTAATCATACTCTTCCTGAGATTTTGGGCAAATGAAAACATTAAACCATCAGATGTGGCTTTTTTTTTTTGGTCCCCCAAATCACTTTCAATTCCCTATAGTTTCAGGTTCCTCTGTTTATGCTTGATTGCTATCAAATCTAAGAAGTTGTTAAATCCTATAATAACCTCTCCTACTCTGCTGGGTCTGTATGAACACACAGGTCTCTCTAGGTTCGTGTAAGTGTGCTTATTCCTTCCGAAACCGTATATCCTGGACCATGCCTGTTTACACACACTCCCTCTATACCTTGTTCCTATCCTGCTCTTCTCCCAAGCAATTTTCTGTATAATCTAGATTTTTGTTTACATGTACTGGGTTTTGTCCCCAATATTTCAACACATGAAGTTCTATATCTATAGTACCGTGAGAAGATTAATTCCTTCTTTTTAAAGTTTGGAAGCACCGCCGGCAATTGAGAGGAAATAAATGAAGAACTCATCAGAAATTCTGCATTCACTAAAACATCACTCAAAACTATTTTTGCAGTTTCATTACATGAGAGAGAAAAGTACTTTACAGTCAGACGATCTAATTTATGAAAGGAATAGAAGCTGAATGCTTCTGGACATTTTCCCTCTGTTGCTCCAACAGAAAAGCAAAAATAATGCCAACTTAACTATCTCAAAGGCTAGTGATTACTAAACACGTGCCTTCTGTTTCTGTATTTAAAAAGAAACTATGTAAATCTTATAAAGTATAAAAAGCTGTTTAGAGGATATCTAACAAAATAAGCCAAACTTTAATCAGAGGGAAGATCTCTTGTATTGACTGCATCCTCCTAGGTCTAGAAACACGTTCAACACGAAACGCCTCCATAGACAGTGTTTTCGGAGTAATGACATTAAGCCACCACCATCCTGAGCTCGTAGATAAAGGCTCCCCTTCTACTTTAAGAACACTGCTGTCCCATAGTAGCGCTAAATAAATGTCAGCTAAATAAGATCCTGCTTTCCGGTGCCACCGACCCCTAGTGCTATTAGTAAGGTGACTGAATCCACTTTTCTGTGTGTGTAGTTTTACATTCAAGAAAAGACCTGCGATTTTACACTCGAGAATTCCCCATATATGCCTACCTATTTGAAGAGTGTTTTATGTGTGGAGGTGGGGCTGACAGAGAGCTAGTTTTGTGCTTTCATTTAGGTTCCAGCGCTGAAAGTTACAGCCCAACCTCACCATCCTCCCCCACCAACCCCCGCCCCGGCTCATCGGAAACGTCTGGACTGAAGCTGGGCTGTAGTGGCCATCACCTTCCCAGTCCCGCAGTTCCACCTCACGCTTAAATGGGTATTAATGGTATGAAATAGTATACCCTTTCCTTGACTTCTGGACGGCGATGAGGGGCTGCTGAGCCACGGAGCTCTGTCCCCTTTTCCTCCTGGACGTGAGCCCAATCGCAGCCCCTCTTCCGTGGCGAGAACCGCCGTCAATGCAGGCTAAAACCCAACGCTTTCCAAGACAGGACCAACGCAGCATGAGGGCCGCCATTGCCCCGCCAGGGTCCTGGTCAGGTGATACAGTCTCCTTCTTCCGCAAGGCTCTCTGGGAAGCGTAGTTCTAAAAAAAAAAAACAAAACCAAAAAAACCCAATAAAACTTATTAGGCTCACACCGGAAGACTACTATTCCCGGTGAGCATTGCGACTCTAAGGCTGCCGGAACGCTGGCGGGGAGCGGAGGGAAGGAGAAATAGAGGAGAGGGTGGGAGGGCTTCTGGGTCGGGAGGTGTGACTCCTCCTAGCGGGGAGTTGGGGAGGTTTGTGGCGGGGCGCGTGTGGATGGGTTTGAGTGAGAACAGGTGGTGCGGAGATCCAAAGCCGAGAAACCTGGCCGGGATTTTATACCTCGGTTAACCTTTCCAGCTGAAGTAAATGAACTTGACATCTCTGGGAAAACTTCCGAACCTCCAAGTCCACTCAGTTATTTTCTGTTTACTCTGCCAGTTCACACACTAATTTGTGCATTAATGTAACAAATACTTATTTGCATGCCTACTACATGCCAGGCATAGTTCTTAGGCACTGACGAGTGAGCCAGACATTTATGGCCACTATTCTCGTGGAATGTAAGCATTGTTGGGAGAGACATACAGAAAAGTTACAAAAATAGGACACTTTCATGTAGGTGGTTAAGTGCTGTATTTAAGCAGAGGTGCTTGGAGACAAACAGACCTAGATTGTACCTTAAGGTACATTTTAACTTATTTTCCTTTTTGTACTTGCTCAGTGTTTGAAACACTTTTCCTTACATGCAAAAGCCTTGATAGCAGATGCCATCATCCCAACAGACTTATTTTCCCGCTTTGAAACTCAAACCCTTCTGAAACTCCCATTGATGTATTTGAGCACACAATTTAGAATAGTCGTTCAGCCGTTCTCTATTTTAGCACCCTATTTTGCTTCTGCATATTATGCTTATGACTGATGTTTATCTTCTGTCTCCACAAGCTCCTTGAGAATGGGGAATTTGTCTTATTCAACCAAGTATTATCATGGTACAAAAGTAGGCCCCTTAAAAATATTTGTTGGATGAAGTAGTGCAGTGTGGAGAATGTGTTTGACAAAGAACAGAGTGGACACCCTTAGAGTAGTAGTTGCTTAGGAGGGAGGTGATGAAATTGTGTGGTGGTGGAGGCAAAGAGAAATTGACCTATGTGAGATAGATTTAGGAGGTAAGACTGAAGGACTTGGTGATGGATTGAATATGATGGTGATAGACTTGGTGGGGTCAAGTAACTCCTGAATTTCTGGCTTGTGCAAATTGATGGCTGGTGGAGTTATTCACTGAGATAAAGAAACTAGAAAAGAAATAGGTTTCAGGAAAGCATGAATTTGGTTGCCTTGGATACACACAAGAGGAGAAGTCAAGGAGGCATCATTGATGCCTAACTTTGAGTATGGAGCACGGAAAAAGCTGCAGACTCTGTATACTTCTCATTGGTAGATTTTCAATTATTGATCAATCAATAACCTATTGATTAGACAGCTGTAACCTATGATCTATTTCCAGCAATACTCTTGTACAATTACGATATTTTATGCAGTTTAATCCCTCGATGGAGGCAATTTTCCTTATTCTCCTTAAAATGTCATTATTTACTTTTTCCATCTTTTCTGTTTTTTCATCCACTGTCATTGATCCAAGTTGCTACACCAGAAGTATTTTCACATGACCACAAATGAAAATGAGAGAAATGACAGAGCCTGCAAAGTAGAGGTAGAGATTTGTTCCAAAATTCATTGCTAATTATTGACCTTTATATCAAGTTCAGATCACTCTTGAGATTCTGTATTAGTATCTCTCCTCTGAGTTTCCATATTTCCCACCATTACTTAGGTAAGTTTGCTTTCTCTTTCTCATTTAGCTCCTCAGGTTTTTCTGGCCCAGACTGGGGGTCAGGAAAGTTGCCTCTGATCACAGCATGGTTCCATCTTTGATAGGACTGCAGAGGAAAGGGGAATCCCATGTCTCGGAAGTGAGCACAGGCAGCCTTTAGCCAAAAGGGGAGGGAGATCTTTGCTACCTTACCACTGGTAATCGGCATCGTCAGGAGGCATTTCACTCCCATGAAGTGTTGGGATGTTTTGAAAACCACCACGAGAGAGAGAGCAGCATACCTAATGAAAATCCTCATTTTATGGACAAAATGCACAGCTTTCTTTATGAAGCAGTATTATGCAGTGATAGCGTATCACTTCAAAGGCTCCTACCCTACCACTAGAGGGAGAGAAAATCCTCTGCATGTAAATGTATTTGATTCCTTTCACAAATGGAAACCTTCTAGCTTGATGCATATTACATAGCCCTTTCAAAATCCCACAAGAGCTAATGGCTTCTCTTCTCCCCCCAAATTATCTGTCATTTCCAGAAATGCCCATTGGTGTCCTCATGCGTGGTCTGGTGTCTAGGAAGGCACTGTTTTCCAAGCACTCCTCCTGCCTTGCTCCCTTAGCTAGTCAGGTGCTCCCACCCAACCTCCTACCATGGGACCATGTCTCACTTTCCTCCTGCATGCCAAATCTGATATCTGTCAGAACTCTTACCGACAGCGCTCTAGCTGAGAGAGCTATTTTGGTTCCACCAAAAAGGTGGCTGTCATCTGGAAGACACAGAGATTTTCATTTTCAAGAAGCTCAGAAGGTAGCAGGACAAGGTTTCCAGCAAAAACATTCTCTTAGGGAGAGGTTCTCAGCTCTTATTTTATTCACATAATTGACACAGTACAAATAAATTTAGAACAAGTTTTTAAAAAGATATGTAAGCCAGAATAGAATTTCAAGTTGTTACTTATAAATGGCAATAGTTAGCAAGCATGTCTAAAATAACATGCTTGATTTTGTTAGTATTCTTCAAAGAGTCTTTGAATGTCAGACTTGGATCAGACAGACCAGCTTACCCCTGGGTTTGACTCAAAATCCCCAGGTATCTGTAGAAACACATTGATTTCTGAACACAAATCATCACCCCAAATTTAAGTGGTTATTCTTTGATTAACTACTTTTTCCTGTGGAAACGAAGACAGTGCTTTAAAGACGTTAAGCAGACTAATAAACAAAATGTCCCTTGTTGTCTAATAGAGCTGGATGTGGTATTCCCCACCCCTTTTTAAGATTTATTTATTTATTTGCGGGGGAGGGGTTGTAGAGGGAGAGGGAGAGGATGACAGCCCCAAGCGGACTCCCTGCTGAACATGGTGCCGGACACCGGGCTCAATCATAGGACCCCGACATCATGACCTGAGGCCAAATCAAGAGTCAGATGCTTAACTTACTGAGCCACCCAGGTGCCCCTGGAGTTCCTCTGTGGGACTATTAGTTTCTATCTGTTCTATGGGTGTAATACCTAGCCTGCTGTCTTAAATTTTGTGCTATGTGGTAGGGAAGAAAGATAGCTAGGTCAGTATAAATTCTCTAAAAAAAAAAAAAAGGCCACTTAGAACGATGTATATATGACAAAAATGGACAGCATCATTTTCATGTCAGAAGAACACTGACACTAGAGGAAGTCCCGTTTTTGAGAAAGCATTCTGAAAACATAAAGTTCCTTCTTAGAAAAACCACATTTTTTCTTTAAATTTTTTATTGTTATGTTAATCACCATACATTACATCATTAGTTTTTGATGTAGTGTAGAAAAACCACATTTTAAGATCCAGTGAAGTGTCATCAGGGGAAGAAGAAAGACTGGGTATACATGCATGCTAGACAATTGGGAGAATAGGATTCATTTCCTTCTATTTTCCCATTAAGTCTTGATTCTGATAAAATACTGATGTGGAGGGAACAATTGCTTTCTCTAGAAGATTGCTTTGAGGCAAAGAAATCTATAACTTTTTCTTCCTTTCCAAGGCAGGGAAATAGAACACCCTGTCCAATGTCTTTGTTGAGATGAAGTGCCATCTGGGGGAAGATGAGGCTTGCGCGTGGCTGCAATCAGGCTCGTCTAGCCCATAAACTGTCATCTCTCCACGTCTTTCCTTCTTTCTTGTCTCAAAGGACGGTTTGCTTGTTCCCCAGCGTTTTTCTTTTTTAGAAATCTGACTAATCCTGGAAGCAAAGAGGAATTGTGTGTAAGAAAGAAGCTCCCACCTCTACATATCCCCATGACTCACCATTTACTTGAAAGAAGATACTTCTGAGTCACAAGTAGTGGGTAGTAGAACATGTGAAGCTCTGTGTCCCTGTAAGCTATGTTTAGCATGTGGTGAGATTCCTGCTGTGCACTAAGAAGCTCTCTCTTTTATGTTTTGGAATTGGGTATTTACCCATCAGAATTACAGAGCTTGTACACACACACACACACACACACACGCACGCTTCTAAGTAGTATCTTATTTCCAGATCAAGCAGATATAATGACCAACAACTTTTAAGTTTGCAAAACAGATGACTTTTTTTTGTACATCAGCTGGTTCTCTTGATTTTAAGACTAAAGATTTTAAGGAGTAAAAGATTGGATGTTAAAAAACTACTCCACCAAGACACATGAGCTTTGATGACACTTTTCCCTCAGTTGAATGAAATCCTACTTGCTACTTGAAGGGAAGATGTATCAGACTCCACGAGGGTGGTACAGAAGAGAACAGAAAGGCTTATCTTACACATGCTGCCAGGTAATCGGTGTCGTTACCTGTGCATATCTGAACTGGGATCTCTATATCTAGGCTGCCCTTGAACCAAGAATGGATGGGCTGCACAAAGCAATAAAGGCTGAAATCTTGTTGGTGGCAGAGACTTCGGGGCTCACCACAGTTTAATATATGGCCATTGAGAGGAGATTAGTGCTCCATGAAGAGGTGCCAGATTGAATGAAAATCAGGCAGCTCAATTCAAACACATTACCAATCAAATGATACAACTACTGAGATAAATGCAAAGAGAGACAGAAAAAAACCACCAGTGATTCATGAATACTAATTAAAGAGGGAAAGACCAGCATAGACATTGTTCTTGTCTCCTTGGAGTCTGACTCTAGGTTCTAATTCACCAGTAAGAGTTGATAACTTGACCCAACAGTGATTTCAAGTT